GAATAGACCCACTTGTAACTCATGAATATTCAGCTCTCTTCAACAATATCAGGTAATTTTATTTGAAAATAAATTAGGTTTACTCATTCAGCAAGCACCTTTATGTCAGACATTGGAGTAGTCACTGAGCTATGAACAAGACAGATAAGGTCCCTGCCCTCCAGCAGTCAACAGTCTCTTGGACACAAGTGTAGGACTGAGAAGGTAAGAGTGTTGGGGAATTTTCAGCAGAAAAAGCTAACCTCGTTTAGGACTCTAAGACAATCCCTTGAGGAGAGGGTAAAGGGAAGGTCTGAAGACAGGCAGGTGTGGCCAGAGGAAGGCATGAGCAACATGGAGGAAATATTTTAAAGGTCTATAAGGTATCTTTTTTCAAATTATTAGGTGCTTAAAACATCTGCTCTATTAAGTAGTTTAATGTAACTTGCAACTGTATTTATAAATTTGTTCATCAAGTGTAGCAATGGAAAAAAAAAAAAAAAACAACGCCACCTTCAGTATGTCTACAACCTATTTTAGGGAAAGATGAAGAGATGAGATACTGCTGGAGGAGTTGAGGCCAGGTGAGTGAAAGGCCTAGCAAACCTTGCTAAAATGTCTACGCTTCATCCGAAGGGAAATGATATGTCACTAAGGACTCAAGCAAGTGCATTTCAGAAACACTGCTCTGCCTATGTTCCGGGGATGGGTGGAGGCAGGCAAGACTGGAGTCAGATGGTCCATCGTGAACCAGGTGCTATGGCTATTCAGCATCCACTCTCCCTCCCTATTCTGGGAGAATCCCAAGGCTAGAGGGATGCAGGGCCACTTCCTATCACAGAAGAAAAAGAAGGGCAGAGAGACCCTCTTCTATCCCCCCACAGACACACTAAGAACATGAGATCTAAACTCAACCACATTCCCACATTCACTCATAAATACTCATTCAGGATTTACTGTGCTCCAAGGCCTGTGTTAGGAGCCGTGGATACAGCAATGAATAAGACAAGATTCCCAGCTAAGACCATGAATCCTGAGGAAGGAGGCAAGCAAAGACTCGGAGTCCTCTAAGCAGCAGAGAGTTTTGGGTGGGGGCTGTAACACACCTATCAAAATGTACCTAACTGGTAACTGTGTGTAGTCTACTCCAAAAGTCCCATGGCAGCCCCTCTAGTCCCACTGGCCCAGATTAGAGCACATTATCAGTTTTGTGCAGCCTCTTAAGTCAAAGACACATTCTAGCAGCAAAGAAGAAGGCAGGAGTCACTTTGGGGAGGCAGCAAACTTTGTGTCAGATGAAATCACCTGCCTGAGGCCACAAGCAGTAATTAACAAGGAGGCCAGGATTTGAATCCACCTGACTCCACAGCCCAGCTGCCTTTCACTAGGCCGCAACCCTCACTTAGCACTGCTGTAGGTTAGTGATCTGGTCATTGCTGTGTGCTGCCAGTGGGGCAAAGGCCTCACCACAGAGCCACCCTGTGGGATGTGTCCTTACCCAAGATCTCTCCTTCCCACGTTATTCCCAGTCATTAGCCTATCGGTAGGTCCTGAGAGGAGGATAGGGAATTAAGGAGACTCTCTGGCTTCTCCCAGCAACCCAGAACTCTGGTGCCCTTGGCCTTTCCTACACACTGCGCTCTACAAAACCCCTTGGGAGGCTCTTGCAGCATAAACAACTTACTCAGAAGACACTTATTTAGGCTCTTATTATCATCTACGGACGACTTTTCGAATCAGTTCTAACAATTAGCTCCTAAACCCATAATAGAGAAAAATACAGAAACTTTGGGCAGGAAAACTGACAGCAGTTAGAAGTGCTAACAGCTGACTCAATGAAATAGGACAGAAAACTTTAAAAACTGGAAAGATGCAAAAACCCCCACAGGAAATAGCTGTATATGCCTCAATAAACCTAACAACATTACTGTTCACATCACAACATAACAAATTATATTTAAAATGGTCACTTGAGATCATTGAGGAAAGTTTACATCACATTCAGCACATTCCATTTAAGAACACAGGAAATAATACACTTTAGGAAGATTCCCAACCTAAACGGGATATTTTGGTGCTTAATGGGCAAAAACCTAATCTAGCCAGAAAACCCCTCTGCTATTCAGAAAGTTAATATCCTTTGGTCATAATTAGCCATGGTTTTATTGTAAATGACTTTATAATAATTTGCACAAATCCAAATTAAATTAATTCTTTGTACTAAAGTCCTAATAGGAACACTGTCAACACTGCCCACTTTTATAGAACCTAGTGTGTAGATACATATGGATGTGCACAGATAGGTATTAACATGTGGAAACACCGAAGGATATAATTTACTCCATCTTACATTAAATGTTATATAATAAGAGCTGACTAAAATAGATTCCTCTTTATCATTTGTTTGTACGGAAAACAGTACTCAGAAGCTGGCTTTTTTGGTTAAGGGAGGCCCTGATTTACTGTACAGCTGAAGACAAATCATTTAACCTCTTTGTACATCACTGATTTCCTCATTTGTAAAAATAAGATAATTATTTACTTCTCAGGGAGATTTAAAACTACTACTAAAAAATTCCTTAGAAATACCTTATCTTTGCATAAATAATTTAAACTTTAAACATGTTTTAAATCTGAAGATTTTCCAACAGAACACAAATTAAAATTATTTATACTCATTATAAAGCTCTATAAAACTAACTGGTGGCATTTTCAAAGTAATAAATCAAAAGTCGCAATAAATTCCTGTGTGAATTCACATAGTGTATAACTGTAGTTTCCATGGAGTTAAGAGTTGCTTTTATGATTTCCATTAAGCAGACTATCCTTCTTAGCATCAACCTTTTCTTAAAGGGGGTGGCAACTCAGCAGTGAAATAAATCTAACAATACAGGCATTTAAGCTTGCAACAAAGAAGTTACAAAGATCCTGTCCAACATGCTGAGTTACTAAGCTCTGACATCTCCCTCCGGACATTACAGCTAAATAAAGTCAGGTTATGGCAGGAACTTGATCAGTTCCATTCATTCACATTTTTTCCTCCATGCCTAAATAAAAAGCACACACCAGAAGAGGAAGAAGTAGGAGGTAGGGAAGGGAAGGGGTGTGAAGGACAAAAATGCAAATCTCAAGGAAGGATATGACAAATAGCCAGTTTTGCAGGGATCTAAGTTGTAAAAGACTTGAAACATATCATTTGGGAACCCTCTTTTCAGAAAAGCATACAAATTATAAACAGAAGATCTCTGAGGTCCCAGTGCCTAGGTAAGGGCCCATGCAAGTGACAGACCCAGAAACCTGAACCATTAGCTTTACAGTAAATCTGCCCCATAAATGGTATCCAGATTCAGGATCATGGATGGGGGAGAATCTCAAAATGCTAAAAACTATGTTACCCCAGATGTCACCTACCGTAGTTTTCTCAGTGGGCCACAGGTGGTCAGAGATTTCAGTATGTCTGGAAGATTAGGTGGTTAGAAACTAAGTAAAAAAACTGGAAGGTCAAGGTAGTCACAAAACGGGGTGTGTGTGGGCGTGTGCGTGCGTGTGAAGATGAGCGGTGAGGACCCTGACCCAGCAATGGTGTTGGTGCTTTTCAAGAATACAACTGGTAAGAAGGCTCAATTAGAGTTCCAAAACAAAAGGAATGGCAAAGTCAGGGGGAAAATCCACTAATGACGGAGCTGGGAGATGGCAGAAATGGGATGAAGAAGGTATCAGAACACAGACTGTGAAGGCTGTAGTGGTGACAGAGGGTGGCTCCTAACAGTAAAGTCCAAAGATGGGCAGGTCAAAGAGCCTATGTGAAGGGGAGGTCAGAGAAAGGTCAAAAACAAAAGCATGACACTAGACATGGGGGAACTTGGGAGTACAGCTGTGGATAAGATGCTCTCACATATTCAGGAGATGGAGGTTAGGACCCTGCTGCTCCAGATATGGTCCCCATTCTAGGCTTTTCCCTCTCCATACTTCTCCACTCAAGGACCCAGGCCATGAGAAAGTCCACCCTCTCACTTCTTTACCTCCAGGTTCTCTCCACTACCACTTCGGGATTTCCAGTCCCGAACGACTACAAAAGCCTTTTGTCTGTCCACAGTCACCCTCATCCCCACCCCTGTATCTGCCAGACTGAATCTCTTTAACGCTAATATCTGATCACATCACTTCCTTGCCCCACATGCTCTTTAGCTTCCTTCCTGCCATTCCCCATCCCTAACCAACATTTCTTGTCTCACAAATGCTCAACTCCTAGTTCCCAGAATATGTCAGACTGTCTGAAACCATCATGTCTTAAACATTTATGTTCTTACTGCCAGGAATAGGCTCTCAACTCTCGTTCACCTCCCAACTCCTGCTTACTCAAAACTCTGCTCAAATCCCACCTTTATGGAAATTTCCTTGACCCTCTGGGCAAATCACCCTCTAAGGTACCCTTTTCTTTCTGCATCGTAGGATCTGCTTGACGCTCAGTGTTGTCCCACGGGTCTGTAAACTCCTTGCTGGCAGGGAACTCTGTCTTTCTGTCGTTCCCCAAGGAGCTGGGGCCCTGACTCAGGGATATGCAAGAAAAGTGAAAAGATAAGAGGATGCCTCTCTCTTCTAAGGAAGACCACAGAAGTCGTGCAGCTATGAAGGATAACAGATCTACCCAGAAATGACACACAGGAGCCAAACGCACATCTTAAGGGAGAGAGTCGAGGTCACAGGTGACCTCAAGATGGGGCAGGCAAGGCGAGCAGCTGCGGGTCGCGAGGTCGGGGAGCACGGGACGACGCGGACCAGGGCCCAGCAGGAGGGTCCTGCGCAGGGGCAGGGATGACTACAGGCCCGGCAGCGGGGAAGCGAGGATCCCATGATGTCGCAGCCGCGGTGACTAGGGCAGAAACACGGCCAGGACGGCATTCGGGACCGGGCAGAGGCCGAGAGGCTGACGCGCACAAGGGTCGGACGCGGGTAAAGGACGGTCACGCAGGCCGGAAGCGGCCCGGACGGCGCGCGGGTGCCCTCGGGCCCGGCCCTACCTAGAGATGCGCCAACACCAGCCGCAACGCGCCCGCTGCGCCCTAGGCCCAGCCGCCTCAGCCACCGCAACCGCCACAGCCGCCTAGTTCACTTCCGCTTCCGCTCAAGGCGCTTCCGCTCGGGACTTTGCCCGGTTCGCAGGGGCGGGGTCTGTGTGGCCGTTGCGAGAGTGAGGCGCGCAGGCGTCGTGGGTGGGGCGGGGGAGAGAGACGCGCAGGCGCAGGGAGCAGGGGCACGGTGCGCAGGCGCCGGCGGAGTGGGACGCCGCGGCCTGTTGCCACAGCAACTGCGCAGGTCCTGGTCGACCTCGGGTAGTCAGGTAGCTGCCCGCTGGCGTCGGGCGGGTGCAGCCCTTGAACGTCTTTGTTCATACACTGTCCTGCGGCCGGGATTGTGTCTTGATGCTGCATGCCGGTCTTTGTCCTGCCACAGGCACGGAGGACCGGCGGCTCCCAGGGCCTCAGGCCGCAGTTGTGCTATCGCGGCCGGGAGACTCTTCTGGGCCGGAAACGGGGACGGCGCGGGGGCTCCTGCCCTGGGGACCCGCCGCGCGCCTCCCCGCCCCGCTTGGAAAGGGAGCGGGGACGTCCCGGCGTGCGACTCTCGTCTCCCTATCGGGACGACCCGGCCCCAGTCAGCGCTGAGCACTTCTTGGCCGGGTGGTCTGACCGCCACCGTTGTCGCTCTCAACTACTCTTCAGCTGAAAGTCGTTTCGGGCAGGTTTGCTAGTCTGGAATTGGGTGGGAGAGAATTCCAGGGAGAGGAAAGGCTGAGGCAATAGCCATGAGGGAGCAGGATGCTTCAGAGGAATTCCAGTGGCTGCTGTGGATACATGGTGGCGGGGACAAGTGCCACCTAATCGTTCAGGTCCCTGTCGTCACGTTCAGGAGTTTGGACTCTGCAGTCCACAATCACAGCCTTATTTCTGCAGCTCTTCTAAGATAGCGAAACTCACCTTCAGGACATGCTCCCTTGGGCTAGGAGATCAGGTGGGCTCCGGGTGATGCGCAAGTCCACCCCTCTGGCTGCAGTTCCACCTTTTTCTCTGCAACCAAGCAAACATTTTGGCACCCAGGTGTGAGTAACGACCTTGAAACTAGTCTGATTTATTTTTCTGAAAAGTAAGTTATTGACTAATGTCAATTTTTAATAATATCACCTTATTTAGGATGTATCTCCAAACCTATCCTTACACACAGTATGTCTCGGCAAGGCAGCTATAAGCCCTGGTGAGCTAATGGGTCTTCCATCAGGGAAGTGAAATGGTCAAATACTGTTCTAGGAAAAATGTTCTGTTGATTTTCTTCAGAATCTCTGGCAAAGCACTTGATCAAGTACTCAGAAAACATTACCAATTGGAAGTGGCACCAGGTCTGCATTAAAGTATTTGGGAAGGAATCTCCATTCAGCATACAAGGCTTACTTTCCTGATGGGCCTTTCTTTAAGTAAAATCAACAGATGGTGTTCAGCACCTACTGCTGATTAGTGCTGTGGAGTGACACCAAGAAGTATGTGAAATGACCTGTAGTCTTAAGGAGTACTCATCGGGGTTGGGGACATAAACTAACATACTTTAAATACCAGGCAACAAGTGAAACATATTGTAAGGAGTAAGGGTTGTAATGTTTCTGTCCCCCCCCCAACATTCATAGGTTGAAATTAATCCGAGCATGATGATCTTCGGAGGTGGGGCCTTTGGGAGGTGAATAAATCATGAGGGTGGAGCCTCATGAATGGGAATAGTGCCATAATGAGGCCACAGAGCTCTCTTGCCCACTTTCCACCATGTGAGGATACAATGAGAAAATGGCCTGCAACCCAGAAGAGAGGCCTCACCAGAACCTAACTATGGTGGTGTCTGATCTGAGACCTCAGCGCCTCCAGAGCTATGAGAAATGAATTTGCACCACCCAGTCTAAGGTACTTTGCTGTAGCAGTCTGGACAGTCTAAGACAGGGATGAAAAAGCTTCAAGGAGCAAATGTAGGAACTGAGCCTGGAAGAAGGAGTAGGATCTGACAAAGGGTTAGAAGAGGAAGGATTCCAAGCAGAAGGAGCAAACCTAGGAAAGAGACTGAGGGGAAAATTCAGGAGACTAAACTCTCATGTGCAGGAGGTTCATGCTGAGGGGAGCAGGAAGTGGAGCTGGACTGGGGAGGCCTTGAAAGGCAGGCAGAGCAGGGAGCCCCAGCAGGTGACAGTGCTCATTGGCCTTACAGACGGATTTGATGGTATCACTCATGATGGAACAAAAACAAAAAAGACACAAATGTGACATCTGAAAAACAGGAAAGAGAAAGATAATAGAGAAAATGAAGAGAAGAAAATCTTCCCAGGTCTAGAAGATATATTCTCATATGGAAAGGGCCCAGTAGGACCCAGCACAGCAAACCTAGAAAGACCAACACCAAGGCACATTGCCACAGCACTCAGAACACCAGGGATAAAGAAGAGATCTCCAGAGTTTCCCGAAGGAAAAATGAAAAGGTCACATTTAGAGGACTGGAAATCAGAATGGCATAGAAATACTCCACAGAATCCCAGGAAGCTGAAATACAATGGGGGCATTAACTTCAACATTCTGAAGAAAATAATTCTAAAATAGAATTCAACTCTCATTATGTTCGCTGTTTGTGGGTAGGATATAGATATTTTCAGATATCTTTTTCTCAGAAAGCTACTGGAGGATATTCTCCGAAATTAAGAAATAAGTCAGGAAAGAGGATAATATTTGGGACCTAGAAAACGGGAAGTCCCAGCTTAGGAGAGAGGAGGTGGGAAGTACTAGGACAGAAGCTAGGACTTATACAATAGGGGATAGAGGCCTCTAGGAGAGATGTCTCCAGAAGGAGGTGAATCACATGGAATGCCTGATATGGATGAATATCTTAAAAGGGGATCTTCAGAATTTGATGGTAAGTAATAGCTAGATAGGAAAGTGAATAAGGAAATAAATGAGGCCATTATTGAGTCTAGTGAGAACAATAAACAAAAAAGGATATAGCATATGTCTTGGCTGTGAATAAATATGTAATTATAACAAGATAATTACTGAATGGGAGTTTAACCCAAAGGGGTGTTATAATTATTTTTGAAAAAAGGGAGGAGACCTTATATGTGTTTATATAAATGTGCGCGTGTCTAGGAAGTGAGGGTGGGAGAGTTAAATCCTTGTCTTCTAGAGTTAGGAAGTTCATAGACTATACACACAACTGAAAAGTAAGGACAGAACATTAAATACACATTCTTAGAAAATATGAGCATAAGGCCGGGCACAGTGGCTCATGCCCATAATCCCAGCTCTTTGGGAGGCCAAAGTGAGAGGACTGTGTGAGCACAGGAGTTGGAGACCAACCTGGGAAACACAGTGAGACCTTGTCTCTACAGAACATTTTTAAAAATTGGCCAGGTGTGGCATGCACCTGTAGTCCCAGCTACTTGGGAGGCCGAGGTGGGAGGACCATATGAGCCCCAGAATTTGAGGCTGCAGTGAGCTGGGATTGTGCCACTGCACTCCAGCCTGGGCGACAGAGTAAGACCCTGTCTCACAAAAAAAAAAAAAAGAAGAAGGAATTGGGAGTGGGAATGTGTGGTGTGGGCAACCACTATTTTTGTTACAAATGTAGAAATACCATTTGAATTTTAAAATTATTAATATTTGATATAAGGAAAAAGTTTTAAGTTTAAAAAAGTTATTCACTAGTACAAGTGGTACTAAGGGGCATGACTGTCACTCAAATTCTAATCTGTCTAAATTCTCAAGCTTTAAAAAATTGTTATGACTACAGTACACTACAATGAAGGGAAGGAAAAGTCGAGGATTACTTCAAGGTCTCTTTCCTGGGAGACTAGAAGAAAAGTTGCATGCAGAAATCAGTGTAAGAGCAGCAAGAAGAATTACATAGGATTATCCACATCCTGCTTCACCTCCTGCTGCATAGCTCAGTAAAGCACTTCCCTGTGCTCTGCTGTGCACAGCCAGTTTATCAGTGTGGGAAAAAATCTAAAAATGAGATGGAGGTTTACATAAAAGAGAAACATAGGAAAAGAAAGGGGAATAAAAAAGAAACTAGAGCGAAGTTGGGGGTTAATGCAGAGGAAAAAGCTAAAGTGAGAGACATCACATCAGCTGTGAGAGAGAAACCCAGAAAATGAATGGCAGGGGCATCTGGGACAGGTTTCTCTTGGTAACAAGTTGACCCTTTAAATAGACTGCAAGATGTATTTGCAGTTTTAATTTTATTTGGATGCTGAACTAAATTTCTGAGTATAACAACCACATGAGCTCAAGATTTTATTTGGGTAATGATATGGTTTCACTGTGTCCCCACCCAAATCTCATCTTGAACTGTAGTTCTTATAATCTCCACATGTCATGGGAGGGACCTGGTGGGAGGTAATTAAATCATGGGGGCGGTTACCTCCATGCTGTTCTCTTCATAGTGGTTGAGTTCTCATGAGACCTGATGGTTTTATAAGGGACTTTTCCCCTGCGTCACTCTGCATTTCTCCTTGCTGCTGCCAAGTGAAGAAGGACATGCTTGCTTCCCCTTCCAACATGATTGTAAGTTTCCTGAGGCCTCCCTAACCATGCTGAACTGTGAGTCAATTAAATCTCTTTCCTTTATAAATCACTCAGTCTCAGGTTTGTCTTTATTAGCAGTGTGAGAATGGACTAATACGCGAATTGGTACCACGTAGTGAGGTGCTGCTGTAAAGATACCTAAAAATGTGGAAGTGACTTTAGAATGGAGTAACAGGCAGAGGTTGGAACAGTTGGAAGGACTCAGAAGAAGATAGGAAAATGTGAGAAAGTTTGGAACTTCCTAGAGACTTGGAGGGCTCAGAAGATAGGAAGATGTGGGAAAGTTCGGAACCTCTTAGAGACATGTTGAATTGCTTTGACCAAAATGCTGTTAGTGATATAGACAATGAAGTCCAGGCTGAGAAGGTCTTAGATGGAGATGAGGAACTTGTTGGGAACTGACGTAAAGGTCACTCTTGTGCTTTAGCAAAGAGAATGGCAGCATTTTGCCCTTGCCTTAGAGATCTGTGGAACTTTGCATTTGAGAGTGATGATTTAGGGTATCTGGTGAAAGAAATTTCTAGGCAGCAAAACATTCAAGAGGAAGCA